ATTTAATTATATAATTATATAAATTTTTAATTTATTTAAATTAAATAGTATATACTTTTTAAAATTTTTACTTATTAATTCTCTATATTTTTTTAATATATAAATTATTATAATTATTTATTTTAAAATATGTTTCTATAAAAATATTTAATTTATATACTGATAAAATATTTAAAAAGATATATTATATTTTTATAATTATATTAATATCTTAAAATTGTTTATATATATTAGTTAATTTAAAAATATTTTATTATAAATTAACTATGTTACAATAAACAATTATATATTATATAATGAACTATATTTATAATTGAATTAAGAGAATGAATTTATTTTTTAAATTTATCACAAATAAAAATATTTTATTTGTGAAATTTATTTATGCAAAATAAAAACGAGATATAATAAAAATAACATTTAATTAAAAGTATGAATTATAGATTTAAATATTTAAATTTATACATTATATATCAATTTAAATAATAAAATAATATAATTAAAAAACTATATATACATTTATGAAATCATTAGATTTAATATAATAAGTATTATTAATATAACAGGCAGATCCTTAAGAAAGATTTAATCCTTGCATATTTCCATTATATTGTTCATGTGGTTTATGCTTTGTCAATTGTTGCGAATAAGAAAACATATATCAGTTAATAAAATCAGATGAAAACTTCGAACATCGTGAATTCATTTATAAATTTACAGAAGAAAAGAAATTTTTCTTATAAAAATGTTGTTTTCCGCCTTCACATAGATCTTTAGAAATTAAAGGCGAAAATATATACAAAGAAACTATTATTTAAATTGAAAAACCTTTTAAATGCACTTTTTTATGTTTTGCAAGACCTTAAATGTTGATTAATTATAAAAACTTATATATAGGAAAAGTTTTAGGTTTTTTTGTTAAAAAATAAAATAAAAATATTTGATGATTTTTTTATTTAATAAAAAAGAGCCATTTACTTGCTAAATATTCACTTGCTTATTTCATGAACTTGAGATTTATGATAAAAACGATTCTTTATCTTATTTATTAAAAGCTTAGTTATTTCAAGGAGGAGTATTTTGTGCTTCTTGTTTTGGTAATAGTTGCTAAATTATAGAGTATAATATATTTAATAGAAACGATGAAAAAGTTGGATCAATAAAACATATTTTCGATGGACTCTAAAAAGAATACTGTACAAAAGCTGATAAGTTTGGTATTACTTTTCCTTTCGATGCTACTGTTGAAGAAAAAGTATTAATTATTTGTGCAACTATTTTGATAGATTATTTATTATTTGAAAATTTTTGAAGTAAATTTTCTTTTGATAAAAAAAAAAAAAAATTTTGAATATAATTTTATTTTTAAAAATTAATATAATTAATGAAATATATTTATTTTATTTTATTTTTTAAAAAAAAACATTTCTATGCAAAAATATTAATTTAATTTTCTAATAACTAAAGTATAAAACTTTTCTAAAATTTAATTTATTTTATAAATACTTTAGATAAAAATAAATTTAAATAAGATAAATACACTAAAAATTATTTATATATATATATATATTTATTAGATACATATATTTAAATCTATAAATACATATTTCATAAATTGTAAAAATAAATAATTAAAAAAATAAAATATGACGGCTAAGTAAAAATCGCAAGATATTTAAAAAAAATAATAGAAAAATAATAAAATTGAAGATGTAAAACATCAATAATTAGATACGATTTCTATATATTCTAATCCTATAAAAACATTTTATTATTTTACTTTAGTTGTTATAAACTTCTTAAAATCAATTTTATAATTTATTATTAAACATATGGTTCCATTCACTTTATTGACTTTGTTTATAATCACTCCTTATTTAGTAGAAGGTGTCCATACACCAGTATTTATAAAAAAAAAACATAATATAATAAAAATAATTTTTATAACAAGTACCTTAGATAATTTGAAAATGTAGGATATTTTTGTGCATATTGGATTATTTTAGGAGTCGCTTCTTCTATAGGTTTAGGAACTGGATTACATACCTTTGTTTTATATCTAGGTCCTTGGATTGCAAAAGTAATATATTTTTATTTTTTTTATTTTTTTTATTATTTCAGGTCACAATGGTTGCTTATGATTGTAAATCGATTCCTAAAATGATTCCTAGTAAATGGAATTTTTAGAAATTTGACGATTGCCCAGGTAATTTTTTTTTTAAAGAATAAAATAAGTATTTAAAAAATAGAAAAAGTTGAATAGCCTGTAACATTTTTAGATATCTTACTTTCAGTTTAATTAGAAGCCTTTTTATGGGGATTAGGAACTGCAATCGGTGAGTTGCCTCCATATTTTGTTGCAAAAGCAGCAAGAGCAAGTTAGAAAAAAAATTAAGAATTAGAAGAAGTTGAAGCACATAAAGGTAATTTAAAAATAAAATAAATAAGATAATATAATATATATTTATAATTTTTTTAGATGATAAGGATATTGTCTCCATTTTAAAAAGAGCTATTTATAATAACCTTTAAAAATATGGATTTATAACAGTTTTATTATGTGCTTCTATACCTAATCCATTATTTGATTTAGCAGGTATTTTTATACATAATCGCATTCTAAATTTAAATAGGTATAACATGTGGACATTTTGGTATTCCTTTTCTAACTTTTTTTATTGCTACTGCAATTGGAAAATCAATAATAAAAGTTCATATTCAAGTAAAATATTTTTAAATATAATATTTATTTTTTTACTATATATTTTAATATCTTTTTTTTTTTTAAACAAAAAAAAAAGATGATTTTTGTGATATTTGTTTTTTCTGAAAAATATGTTGATTTATTATTGCAATTTTTAGAATCTAATTTACCATTTTTCAAACATAATCTTAGTGAAATGTTATAAAAATAAAGAAAAATGTTGCATTCACCATATGTTCCTGATGAAAATAAACCTTTTATTGGATAACTTTGGGATTATTTTATATTTTTCATGATTGTTTATTTTGTTATTTCTATTGTTAATTCTTTAGCCTAGAATTATTATGAAGAATTATAAGAAGAAAACAGAAAGAAAAAAAAAGATTGATATATAAAATTAAATATATTGATTTATTATTTATATATATATATTTAATTTTAAATTTCAAAATAAAAATATATGAATAATATATTCATTTTGATATTTTGTTAAAAACATAATATATTATATATTTTCTTATTTTATTCAATTTTTATTTAATTGTTCTATTTCATTTAATTTAGTTTGTAAATTTTAAATATAAACATCTAATTTATTTTTATAATCTTTTATTTTTTTATAACTATTTTAATTATAAAAATAATGAATATTCAATTTAAATTTTTATACTATAATTAAATATTTTTTATTACCCCTCTATAGTTAGCTCTTCTGTTAAATCCATTTGTTCTCTTACTTTTTTATCATATGGGATTCCATAAAAAAACTTATTTTAAGGTTTTATTGAATTTCTAAAATTTACAAAATCATCAAGGACTATAATTATAAATATGTTAATTTTTAAATTTTTTATTAAATATATTTCATAAATAAAATAATTTAAAAAAATGAAACCTTGCTCACATTTTGCAAAACAGCTTTCAGTTTCTTTATTTTTAAAATCTTTTAAACAATTATATTAACATTTATGGAATAAATAAAAAGATTTAATTTTCAATTATTTTTTTTTAATCCTTGAATCATTTACAAATTATAAATATTATAAATCATGATAGGTTATATCTGGAACTCTTCCTAAGGGGCTTAATTTTGCTTATTATTATTACATACTTTAATATATAAAATTTTATTTTTTAATTTTATAAATAAATTATATAATTGAAATCTTATTAATTATTTTTATTTGGATATGTTTATTAAATAATTTTTTTTTAATTTTTATTATTTTAAAATTAGAAATTTTCATTTTTTTTAAATTATATTATAATTTTTTACTTTAGATTTAATAAAAAAAATGAAAGATGTAAATTATTAAGATAAAATATATACAATTTAATACAAAAATTTAAAAATTAAATTAAAAAGTACAAATAAAATAAATATAGTTATATCCTTAATTAAATTAATTAATAGTTAATATATACTTAATTATATTATTAGTATATATTTTCTTTAGTTTTTATTAAAAACTCAAAAATATAAAAAAATAATATATAACATAATAATAATAATTTAAATAAAAAAAATATGTATTTCCAAATTATATGTTATTATAAATAAAAAAAATACATAAAAACTAAATTAAATAAAAAATATAATAAAATATATTAATAAGATTTTAATAATAATGAAAGTAATAAATAATTAAAAATATTATTTTACTTTTTAAAATTAAATATTTAAATTTGCGAAAATATAATAAAGGAAAATATTTTAATATATATATATATATATAATATATATATATATATATATATATATATGCAAAAAGAATACAATATTTATAATAAAAATGTAATTTAACTTTTAAAAATTGTAAAAAAAAAATTATTAAAAAATATATTCTAAAAAAGAATATATAATATAATAAAAGTAAACATATTAAAATTAAAAATAAAAATATATTATAATAAATTAAAAAAAAATTAAAAATTATATTATATATTATAATATTTTTTTTTTTTTTAATAAAAAATAACTATATATTATATATATATATAATGAAAAAAAATATATATTTGTAATTAAAATGAAAAAATATATTTTTTTATTAATAATTTAAATAAAATAAATATAATTAAATTTATAAATATAAATAACTAATTTTAATAATATTTTTTTTTATTTTTTCTTATTATTAATATTAAAAATATTAAAATATTTTAATATTTTTTAATTTATATATAATATTTATTTTTTTATTAATATTTATAAATTTATAAAT